CGAGAGGTTGTCTGGCCCGTTTCGCTTGAGCCATCCTCACAAAGCGAAGCTCGAAGATGTTGAGCGCGAGATGGTCTGGCCCGTTCTGACGAAGACATTTCGTAGCACAGGGGCTCCAATCACAACCTCTCTGATTCCTTCTCCCGCCTCCCTCTTCCCGCTTCCCGCTTGGCTCCTCTTCCCTCCTCCCTCCTCCCGCCTCCCGCCTCCCGCTGCTGCGCCTCTGCCTCCGCCTCCCCGTCCCCGCCGTCGTCGTTTCTGCCGCCTCAGCATCCGTCATGCGCGCCCTGCCTTCCGCCCTATCATGTGCAACCATCATGTTATCATGTTCTAACATGCCATGCCAGCCCGCACCGGACGGGCACGCAATCGACCTTGGAAACCGCAATGGGTGGAAAAACCCTGTTTGGGGATACTGCACTCCGGCTATAATCCCAATCATCTTGTGGTGCTGAGCCCTCGTTTTGAATAGACAGCGCTCCTCACTCCTCTTTCCTCCTCCCTCCGCCCATCACTGCCTCGGCTCTCCGAATGCCAAGCATTTCGGCACACCACTCACACGTTTCGTGGCCCATCGCGAGCTCCACCGAAGGCCTCAGTGGTTGCGCTCGCATGACACCACCTCGCCCAATTCCACACGCTCCTCATACGTTTCGTGACCCCATGTGGAGCTCCACCGAAGGCCCCAGTGGTTGCGCTCGCAAAGCACCACCGGGCCCGTTTCGGCACACCCCTCACGCGTTTCGTGGTCCATCGGGAGTTCCACCGAGGGCCTCAGTGATTGCGCTCGCATGGCACCACCGCGTTCATTTCGCCGCACTCCTGACACGTTTCGTGGCCCCACCAGTTTCGCTCGCATGGCACCACTGCCCCCATTGCGGCACACCCCTCACGCTTCGTGGTCACATGGGGGGCTCCACCGAGTGCCCTAGTGGCTGCGCTTGCGTGGCACCACGGCACCGACCCATATCGGCACCCCCCTCACACGTTTCGTGGCACCGCGGGAAGCTCCACCGAGGCCCTCAGTGGCTGCGCTCGCATGGCACCACCGCGCCCAATGCGGGGCACCTGTCACACGTTTCGTGGCCCCGTAGGACCGCAAGCCCCCAGCGGTTGCGCTCGCACGGCGCCACCGCCCCCATTGCGGCACATCTCTCACACGTGTCGTGGTCACATGGGGAGCTCCACCGAGGGCCCCAGTGGCTGCGATCGCATAGCACCACCACGCTCATTCCGGCACACCCCTCAAACGCTTCGTGGCCGCAAAGGGAGCTTCGACGAGGGCCCCAGTGGCAGCGCTCGCATGGCACCAACGCGCCCGTTTCGGCGCACCTGTCACACCTCTTCGTGGCCCATAAGGAGTTCCACCGAGGGCCCCAGTGGCTGCGCTCGCATGTCACCAAATCGCTCCATCCCCCCACCTTCCTCGTCCCATCCCTGCCATCCCTGCATCTGCCCTCCGCAGGTAAAACATTTCGGCGCACCCCTCACACGCTTCGTGGCCCCATAGGGAGCCCCACCGAAGTCCCCAGAGGTAGCGCCCGCATGGCACCACCACGCCCGTTTCGGCACACTCCTCACACGCATCTTGGCCCACAGGGAGCTCCACCGAAGGCCCCAGCGGCAGCGTCCGAATGTCACCACCAGGCCTGTTTCAGCACATCCCTCACACGCTTCGCGGTCCCAGTCTACTGAAGGCCCCTGTGGCAGCGCCCGCATGGCACCACCGCACCCGTTTTTGGCACACCCCTCACACGCTTCGTGGCACCATACAGGGGTCCACCTCGGACTCCAGTGGCAGCGTCTGCATCGCACCACCGCGTACGTTTCGGCACCCTTCGCACCTTTCGTGGCCCCATAGTGAGCCCCGCCTAAGGCCCCAGTGTCAGCGTCCGCACGGCATCGCCGCGCCCATTTCGGCGCACCATTCACGCGTTTCGTGGCCCCACAGGGGGCTCCTTTTAAGGCTCCAGAGAACCACCACACCCGTTTCGGCACACCTCTTACACGTTCCGTGGCCCCACATGGAGCACGCGTTTCGGCACACCCGTCACACGCTATGTGGCCCCAGAAGGGGGCTCCACCGAAGGCCCAGGTGGCAGCGCCCGCATGGCACCACCGCGCCCGTTTTCGCACACTCCTCACACGTTTCCTGGCCCCATAGGAAGTTCCACCGAAGGCCCCAGTGGCAGCGCACGCATGGCACCGCCGAGCCCATTTTGGCACACCCGTCACACGTTGCGTGGCCCCCATAGGGAGCTCCACTGGAGGCTGCAGTGGCAACGCTTGCATGGCACCACCGCGCCCACTTCGGCACACTCCTCACACGTTTCGTGGCCCCAGAGGGAGCTCCATCCGCGTGGCACCGCCGCACGCGTCTCGGCACACCCCTTACACGCTTCGCGACATCATAGGGAGCTCCACCGAAGGCCAGTGGCAGCGCCAGCATGGCACCGCCGCGCCCTTATTGGTACACACCTCAAAGTTTTCGTGGCGCCATAGGGCTGTCCACCGAAGGCCCAAGTGGCAGCGCCCGCATGGCACCAGCACAGCGATTTAGGCCCACCCCTCATAGTTTCCGCTGCCCCACAGGGAGCTTCACCAAAGGCCCCAGTGACAGCGCCCGCATGGCACCGCCGCGCCCGTTTCGGCACACCCTTCACACGCTTCGTAGCCTCACCGGGAGCTCCACCGAAGACGATATTCACACCCGCAGGACTCACAACTGCATATGATTGGGTCCTTCGCCAGGATACTTGTCCTTCCCACGAAGAAGAAGGAGCAGCACACACATTAAATTTAGGAGCTCCGCGCGGACTTCTTGGATCGGCGCTGTGCCACCCTGGCGCCGCCTCCAGCGCAGCCCCTGGCGCGCTCCGTGAGCCTGGAGGGGGTCCAGCGCCCATCCAAGAAATCCGCGCGGACCTTCGAACGTTTATGTATATGCTGATTACCCTTCTTCGATTATCTTCCTCATGCTCCTCAGTCTCCTCCTCGCTCTCCTCTTCTTCCTCTTCCTCCTCTTCTTCCTTCTCCCCGGAGATATTACGCTGCGACAAACATGCAGCATCGCGAACAACACACAACCGAAGCATAGACCCAATATGTTTGCTACGGCTTTCGATCCGGACCGAGCTGTGATGGTCCCGTGCGCCGACACCGAGCGAGACTGCCTGGTGTGAAAAGGTAGGAACGCCCAGATCTCAAGGTCCTCCTCCTCTCCCTCCTCCTTCTCTCCTCCTCCTCCTCCTCCTCCTCCTCCTCCTCCTCCTCCTCCTCCTCCTCCTCCTCCATCCTTCGCGGGTTCTCGGCGTCATCTTCGCCCACACGTGCAAGAGTGGCGTCACGCGCAACGGCCTGAACGACTCGTGGATGATCGATGACCGCACGCTCTGGGACCACAGCGGCTACAGGGCGTTCTTCCCCGATCGGGGAGGCCCGTGGCGCCAGAAACCCAGACCCCCCGTTCCCCCTGAGCCCCCCCGCGGAGGAAGGAGGAGGAGGGGGTTAGCCGCACCGGGCGGGGATCCGGAGCAGGAGCAGGGGTGCGGGGAAGAGGGAGGATTGGAGCAGGGGGAGGGGGGAGGAGGGATCAGGATCAGGATCCCCAGAGCCCCTCGCGCGTCGGGGCAAAGGTCACGACGGACGGGCTCTTGCCGTCTTCGGCCTCCGGGGGCCCTCGCCGGGCCCCGGGGCCGTCAAGTGGCAGCTCGGGAGGAAGAGCTGGTCCAGGGGAGTGGATCGAGACCTTTTGGGCTCCACGCTGTGAGGAGGCCACGGCGTCTCGCCAAAGGTGCCCCTGGCCCCAGTGTGTGTCGCCAGTACCTCACCGTCGTATCACGAACCCATCACCACAACCGGCGGTCATATGATGTTTTTCCGATCCCCGCGGGCCCGACCCGGACGGCCAGCCAGCCGACCAGCCGAGTCGAGGCGTGAGAGACGGGGGTCAGTGCAAGCGGGGGTCAGTGAGAGCCAGGGTCCTGCAGAGCCAGGGTCCTGCAGAGCCAGGGTTAGCACTGACCCAGGCTTGGCTGCAGGAGCCTGCAGGATGCTGCAGGATGAAGGTCTGACTGGCCCGGGTTCTGGATTGACCTGGGTCAAAGGTCCCCGACAGAGCGCTTCCAAAGGAGGAGGGAGAGATTGAGAGAGAGAGAGAGAGGAAGAGAGAGCGAGAGGGAGTGAAACGGGCGCAGCTGCAGCTTCTGGTGCTTGTCCCCTGGACCCCCTGTGGGACCAGAGAAGAGCACACGAGGAAGTACAGGAAAAAGCCGGGGAATTGGGGTTGTGTCGCCTCCGTTGCGTCAGTCTGCCCGTGCCCCCTTGAGCGCTTGCCCTCGCTGGCCTGAGGTGGTGGGCAGGGCAGTCGGCCCCACCGGCCAGCCGACCAGCAAGCGGGGCAGCAGTCGCCGAGCGCGTTCCACTACTTGCGAAGTGCCTACTCGCAAACGTCCGAACAACGCATGTCCGTTTTCGATGTAATTGATCGTAGATCCCCCGCGGCGGATCTGGGCCATTTGCGAGTAGTTAGATCTGGGCCATTTGCGAGTAGTTACTTTGCGAGCAGTGGACCGCGCTCGTCTAAGCAGGCTGTCCTTGATCCTGGCAGGCTTTGCGCCAGCCAGCGAGCCACTGGCTCAGCAGCTCGATGTCTGCGCCTCGCCGCGCCGTCTGTGCCGGCGCGCGGCCTTGTGGCTTGGGGAGGGCGCCTCGGCCACCAGGGTAAACGCCGCCTCTGGCCTCGGTGGGTTTCCCGTGGGCCTGCCGCGGTGCCTGCTTTCTCTGCCTGGAGCGCGGGGCGCAGGGTTGGCCGTGGGCTTGCTGTGGTGTCGGCATCGGCCACTTGGGCGCGTCGAGAGCAAACGGCGCGGCGGCTTGGCACATGCAGCGAGCATGTGCAATTTCAATCTCAGCACGCAGGCTTCCCAACGGGGTTCTTACGATCAGTTACGAAGGCAGATTCATCATTTCTCCTCCGTCCTCCTCCCTCCCCATCGTAGCCATTTTCGCTCAAGCCATTTCGACCCAAGCTTGTAACCTCACGCTGCGGAACGCGCTGTTCTCTGATGCGACCCCTGGTGCTCTCGGCAGCAGCTGCGGTGCTCCTGCAGCAAGCCTCGCTGCCTCGTGCAGCCCCAGATGCGAAGACGACCACTGTCGCGGGCGTCCCGCATGGCGGCGCGCAGTGTGCGACGGCGTGGGATTGCGCCCTCGGTGGCGTGTGCGATTCTGGGCAGTGCAAGTGTGACGTTTGGTTCACTGGTGGCAATTGCACGCTCCTCAACCTTGCACGCGCAAGGCGGAACAATGGTTTCAACATGACGGGGCTTGGCTGGTCTTCGTGGGGAGGCCACGCGGTGCCTGACGAGCAGGCGAACGGCTGGGTCGGCCTCTTCTCATTGATGGCGGACAAGTGTGGCCTCAGAGACTACCACAGCAACAGCGAAAGCATCATGGCGTTTGCGCAGGAGGTGGACGGCCCGTACACGTTGCGCGAACCGTCAGACCCAGACGCAGCAGCAAATGTGGCGGTGCCACCACCGTCGCATTGCACGCAGATCAAGAGGCATCCAAGCGGCGAGTATCACTTGTGGCACATCTTTGCCGGTGGTATGGACAACGGCTCCTCGAGAGATCCGCAGCCGGCCCGCAAGAGCTGCAGCTCTGGCCCGGGATCCAGATCCAGCTTGCCGCCCCAGGAGGCGGGAGGCTTCCAGCAGCAGCTGTTCATCCACACCTCGCGCACTCCGCGGGGGCCGTGGAGCCAGCACGGCACGCCAGTCGAGATAAGGACCGTGCGAGGCACGACGGCGGTCCAGGCCTCGTGCGCGGCGCCGTACTACTTCCAGAATGGCTCCGCTCTCGCGGTCTGGGGCGGCGGCGCCTGCCCGCAGGGCTGGGGCGGCACGGGCGGTGCCCACGGCGGGGGCGTGGGCTGCCTGTGGGCTGCCGCTGCGGCGCAGTGGCAGGGCCCCTACCGGCAGCTGGGGGGCCCTCCGGGAGACCCGGTGACGCACCCGGAGAACGAGGACCCAGCAATCTTCATGGACCTCCGAGGAGGGCAAGGTATACCCATGCCGCTACCATTCGCCCCTTCTCCCCGTCAGGGGGGCTCCTGGGCAGCCCTCGTTGGCACCGCTGGATTCGGCCCGAGATCCTGGTCAGAATGCGCCCTGGGAGAGGCCCGGGGAGCAGAGTCAACCCGCATAGTGTAAGGATGGGCCGTGTTCCCAAGGGTACCCTTGCATCCTGGCCTCCTCGGTCCATCCTTGGCCACTTTCGTTGGCCGCGCCCCGCTCGACAAGCTTGGAACGAGGCCTCCAGGGCCCTTGCACCCTCACCGCGCCTCCTCATGAGCCGGGCCGGCTGCAGCAGCATCGCGCCTCCTTCGGCTCCCCCAGGACCCCCGCGGCAACTTCCACATGCTCACCAACGTCAACACCGGGCACCGCCGGTGCGGCTCCGGGGTGCCCTGCGGCGGCCACGCGTGGAGCGAGGACGGCGTGACGTGGTCCGACACCTTCGTGGGCGCCTTCGGCCCCGAGGTGCTCATGGAGGACGGGAGCGCTCGGAGCCTCGGCTACGTGGAGCGGCCGCAGGTTGCCCAGGAGGCACCCGGCGCTCCGCCCCTGGCGCTGTTCCTGGCCGCGGGGCCGAGGTACCTGGAGGCGCCCACGCTGACCTGGGCCCAGCGCTTCTGCGACCGGGGCCCCATGGAGGCCGGCCTGTGCGGCTTCATGGGCGGTCTCCCGCTCGGGGCGTCCGCGCCGGAGCCGCGGGTGTTCGTGTGACGGCGACCTGCGCGAGGAGGCGGAGGTGCCCCTCTGTCGGGGAGGGCTGCAAGGCGGCAGCCGGCGGTGCTCCCAGGCGAGGACGGCGACCTGCACTTGCGCGCTCTAGCCAGCACGGTGCGCGCGCTCTGTTGGCGGCGCGCTGTGTCGCGGCTCGGGCAGCGCCGTCGCTGACAGCGCGAGAAGGGGGGCATTTGCGCACTGCCTCCTCTTCCTCCTACCGTAGGCCTACCACCTCTCCTTCTCTTCTGATCACCGTCGTCGCCATCATCGTGTCACCTGCGATCCTCATCATCCCAGCATCGTCGTCATCGTCACCGTCGTTGTTCCCAACATAGCCATGTCTGTCAATTGATCCCCATGTCCTCGATTGCGTTCTCGTTCACAATGTCCTTGCATGGCTTTCTTGTTGCACATGCTCCTAATTTTCTGGGCTCGTTGTTCCATGTATCCCTGCACGGGGTCATCGTTCCCAAGCCTCCTGTGTGAGGGTCCTCGTTGGGAATACAGCCGGGGGGGGGGGGCATGCCAAGAAACATTTTGCATTTTGCCAGGATGCCCTGGGATTATTGGGGCTCGATGGGCCTACGATGAAAAGCCGAGGCTGTTCCACAAAACGGCTCCAGATTCCCAACGACAGCCCTCGGGTTGTCGGGGCCGGGCTTCTTGTGGAGGGCCTCTCGTGGCCGAGCCCCCGCCGTGGAGCCCTCATTGCTCCTCCGTCTCCCCTCTCTCCCTCTCCAGGTCGCGCGTGCGTCCGCCTCCCCTGGCACCCCTGGGGAAAGCGCCGCTGTTCCTGCTGTCTGAGCTCCCAGGGAGCCCCCAGCGCAAAGGGGGGTCACGGGCGCGGGATGGGATGCCAGACCCTGGAAGGCGTCGTCGGCATGAGTGTAGTCATGATTTCGGTTGGTGTCAGCAATTACTGCCGTTGTGGGCATGCTGCGTTCAGACTTGCATGGGTCTGGATGTTCATGCACCAATCGAGCATACTACGCACGCAGTTATCCATGTATAACTACATATATATAGAGAGAGATGGGTATGTATCCGGGGATGATTGATGGTTGATGGCTGATGCTTGGTGATTCATGTTCGATGACTGATGGTGATGGTGATGACGACGACAGCGACGTTGATGATGATGGCGATGATGATGCTGATGATGATGCTGATGATGATGATGCTAATGATGCTGATGCTGATGATGATCATGATGCTGCTGCTGATGATGATGATGATGAGGATGATGATGGTGGTGGCGGTGGCGGTGGAAGTGGCGGTGGCGGCGGCGGCGGTGGTGGTGGTGGCACCTGCATACAGTCATCGGGCGCTGAAGCGCCTCCAGACATGAAAACTACTCTTCAGGGAGGGTCCGGCCACCTGAAGTCGGACTCCTTGGCCCAGAACGAATCTTCAGGCCCCCCCCGGTCACGTCTACCTCGCCCTGCTCGTTAGGGGCAGCGCCATAATTACGCCCCGCCCCTCACGTCGTCCCCCGTGCAGGCTGCACGGGCGCCCGTTCGTGTACCATGATCTCGGCCTCATCACCTTCTTGGCATCTCTTCGCAGCTCGCTCGGCGGGCTGGCATGCAATGCTGGTGACTGCATGCGTGGGGAATGATGAATACGGGTCAGATGGGCCCCCCGGACACGTGTGGCCACCCAGCTGAGTCGAATTAACCCACCACTCCACGAATTACTCCGTGTCGCAATGGACGATGCGAGGGGACCTCGTCAGCTCCAACAGCTCCCGGCCCGCCGTGCGTCGATCAGCTCCAACAGCTCCAACACCTTCTTGGCATCCACCTTCTGATGCATGCATGTGGATCGGCGCATCGGCCAGCACACCGGTGTACTCCGCCCCGTCCTCGGTCAACGGGATCACCGCGGGGTCGCTGGGAAGCACCTGAACGACTTCCATGCAAGCAGTGGTCATCACGCTCTCTTGATGACAAGCTCCTGGAGAAAGGCCTTCGCGGAGAGCACCTCCCTCTTGCCATGCATGCCTCTGGCGCCGGTGTGCCCGAAGCTGTTGATGCCGATGCCGTACACATGCCAGCGGCCACCCGAGCCTCATTGCCGCGCCCCACGCCACCATGCGCCCGCTTCGGCCGCCCTGGCTGGCGCTGTTCCCTGGAGTGCGGGGTTGAGCTCCGTAGGTGGCCGCCTTGCGCCAACATGATGATGACGATGATGATGATGATGATGATGATGATGATGATGATGATGATGATGATGATGATGATGATGATGTTCGTGATGACGATGATGAAGATGATGATGATGATGATGATGATGATGATGATGATGATGATGATGATGCTGATGATGGTGATGGTGGTGGTGATGGTGATGGTGGAAGTGGTGGTGATGGTGGTGGTGGCGATAGTAGTGATGGTTGTGATAGTGGTGATGGTGGTGATGGTGGTGATGGTGGTGATGGTGGTGATGGTTGTGATGGGTGTGATGGTGGTAGTGATTGAGGTGATGGTGGTGATAGTGGCGATGTTGAGCATGAGTATGAGCATGATCATGACCATGATGACGATGATGACCATGATGATCACGATGGTCATGATAAGCATCATGATCAGGATCATGATGATCATGATGCTGATGCAGGTGCAAATGCGAATGATGACGGCATCGATGATGCGATGTTGACGATGATGACGATGACGATGACGTTGATGACGACGACGACGGTGACGATGCCGATGACGGTGACGGTGGCGATGACGATGACGATGATGATGACGATCAGGATCATGATGTTCACCATGATCATGATCATGATCACGATGCTGATGTTGGTGATGATGACGCTGATGTTTCAGATGATGCTGATCGCGAGGATAATCGTGTTCGTGATCATGATCAAAAGCTCATCTTGATGCTGCGAATGATGCTACGACTGCAAAGATGACAGCAAAAATCACGACGACGACAGCGACGACGATGATGATGATGATGATGATGATGATGCTATTCATGCTGATGTTGATGGCGATGGTGGTGGTGATTGTGATGATGGTGCTGTTACTTTGGGTGGTGGTGGTAGTTGTGGCGATGGTGATGATGATGATGCTGATGATGCTGATGATGATGATGATGATGATGATGATGATGATGATGACAGTACTGATGATGGTGATGATGAGGATGATGAGGATGCTGCGGACGATGAGGATGGTGAGGATGAGGGGAATGCTGGGAATAAGGGCGATGAGGAGCATGAGGAGGATGAGGAGGGAGAGGAGGAAGAGAAGTATGACGAGGATGAGAATGCGGATGAGGATGATGACGATGATGACGATAACGACGAGGACGATTCTTCTGCTGCTGTTGCTGCTGGTGCTGGTGGTGGAGGTGATGGCGGTGAGTGTGGCGATGGTGATGATTACGACGATTACGACGACGATGACATGATGACGATGACGATGCCGATGCGATGACGACGACGACGACGACGACAATGACGATGGCGATGACGCTAACGACGACGATGACGATGACGATGCCGACGACGATGATGGCGATGGTGATGGTGAGGGCGATGGTGACGGTGATTGTGAGTGCGGTTATGGTGGTGATGATGTTGATGCTGGTGATGGTGGTGGTAATGATGAGGATGGTGGTGGTGGTAATGACGATGACGGTGACGATGGCGATGCCGATGACGACAATGCCGATCACGATAATGTTGACGATGGCGATGACGCCGATGACGACGGCGATAATGGTGGCCTCTTGGACCGTCCAGGGCGATCGGCAGCCCGAAAAGGCGGTACCGCCAAACTCGTCCGACAACCCTAGCGAAATCAATGATGTTAGTGACTCCCTGGCGTCTCGAAGTCCCCTTGGAACCCTCGCGGGGCGTCTTGGCGACCAGCCCGTCTGGTTCTGCCGCTTGTCTTCTTGCTCTTGCGCCCCCTCCTGCTAGTTTCTCTCGTGCTCATTCCTTCTCCCTCCCCCTCGTCCCTTCCTTTCGTTGGTCCTTTCTTCCCTTGTTTTAGGGGGTGCACCAACTACACCTGGCAGGTAGAGCAGATATACCCCCAAGGGGTTACCGTCGAAGACGGAGAGGGCGGGTATCGAGGGTTTGTGATACACGTGTTGAATGACACGCGATCAAATAAGAGCGAACAGTCTTAATCTGATAGTCGTAGTTGTTGTTGTTGCCGTGGGTTTTGCTGTTGATGATGCTGTTGCTGTTGCTATTGCTGCTGTTGTGTTGTTTTTTGTTATCGTCGCCCACCCCGCAACCCAACCGCGTCCCACCCACATAGTATTCGGGCGTGGTCCAGGGTTGTGCCTGCACACTCCCCAGTCCCAGCGGCGTCGGTTTAGATGCCGCTGTACTGGTTCGGCCCATGGTGCCCCCCCCCAAAACAAACAAATCCTCCTCCTTCTCCTCCTCCTCCCTCCTCCTCCCACCCTCCGCCTCCTCCTCCTCCCTCCTCCTCCCTCCTCCTCCCTCCTCCTCCTCCTGCTGCTGCTGCTGCTGCTGCTCCTCCTCCTCCTCCTCCTCCTCCTCCTCCTGCCCCTCCTCCTCCTCATCCTTCTGCTGCTCCTCCTCCTCCTCCTCCACCTCCTCCTCCTCCTTCTCCTCCTCCTCCTCCGCCTCCTACGCCCTCGAGCCTCGAGCTTCGAGCGACTGCGGGGGGCCCGAGGCTCGCCGTATCCAGGAGAGCCCCTGCTCTCACTGCTCAGCGCTCGGTCTGGCAGCACGGTGGCAGTACGCCGCCCCCCGCGCCCGCGCCCTCGTGGAGGGGAGGAGGAGGGGAGGAGGAGGGGAGGAGGGGAGAAGGGGGACGATGAGGAGGGGGGAGGGGAGGGAGGGGAGGGGAGGGGAAGGGAGGGGAGGGGAGGGGAGGGGAGGGGAGGGGAGGGGAGGGGAGGGGGAGGGGGGACGAGGAGGTGGGGGAGGAGGAGGAGGAGGAGGAGGAGGAGGAGGAGGAGGAGGAGATCACCAGGATATCACCACTGAGGACCAGTGT